GGAGGCGTAACGTGACGGGAGGGAGGGGAGGGAGGCGTAACGCGACGGGAGGGATGGGAGGGAGGCGTAACGCGACGGGAGGGAGGGGAGGGAGGCGTAACACGACGGGAGGGATGGGGAGGGCGCGTTTGTGCTGTTTTTCTGCTGTATACTGCTCGTCGCGGCCCTTGTGTCGGAAGCTTGCTCGACGAGGACGTTGTGCCGCGCGTTTAACCCGTATTCCTAAACGGGATCGCGGACGAAATGCGTGACTGGCGCTACTTTTGCGTTACTCTACCTGCTAAACTGCTTACGTTCTAGAAAACGCCTTGTGCGTACACCACACCAAATGCAAAGTGGGGGTCCACTTGAAAATGCCAGGGGGGAGGCTGGTCGCCAACGTGGTCGTTGGGCTAGGCTGAGCGACGAGGGCGGAGTTATCGTGCGGACTCGTTTGGTTGTCGTCGACACAGTGGCATCACCGCGCGCCAATGACTGTCCTCGTTCCTTGTCGCCCCAGTTTTTTTGTGTGCTCACATTCTGTTTAGAGCCAAAAGGTGGAAACTTTTTCTGCGTGTGAAAAATATATCAGTTTCAAGTGAGCCCCTGCTTTGTGTTTTTAGCCACGGGCTTTAAACATGCAATTATATGTTATTTTATTTGTGGCGTGGTATGATTCATATGACGTGGTTAATTTTGTATGACAAAAATTCGACAGAATGCATGTTTTGAAACCATTCATCCGCCGTATTATTCTACGGACTGTTGGTAGGAAAAACATATATGAAGTAAACAGCATAAGGGTCGTATTATATCAACCATTTTGCAGGTGTAGTATTCCTAAAGTTACTGGACACCCTGGCGCACGAAAACATGAAACAAAATTTGAGGTTGCTGCGCAACCCAAAAAACACAAGAGCCTCCTCCCCTATGCCACCACCGCCACTTGATGATTGTTCCTCTTGCTGTGCTCGTCCCACCCGCAGTGAGCTAGAGGAGATGGACGCTCACATCACGAAGTCGTCACGCGACGACAGAATTGTTGACGTCCCAGCCAGCCCAACTCAAGGCGGACAGTGGGATGGGCATGTCTGGCTGATGGGGGTGCAGGACAAAGGGTTTTTAGGTTACCGGTAACCCTTACTAGCATTTTTCTCTTTGGGATCACGTTTAGCCCCTATTACGGAAGGGTTTCTCGCCGATCAAACTCCCCAGGGACAGTTTTTTGTTCTTCGGGGTTAGTTTTCTCCACAGCGAACCACGTGTAACAATCTCCTTAATCTTGGGCAGAGGGCAGAAACAATAAAACCCTTATGGGCCTGGCATGGCATTCTGGATGGCATCAACCCTAAACTCTCAAAAGGGCCACGAATTTAGGGTTGATGCCAACCAGAATGGCATACTCGCCCCTATGGGTTTTAGTTTTTTTTCTTGCCAGCTAGCCTGCCCGAATGTTGTCAGCCATTTTCAGTAGCGCAACAGATCCCACAATATCGCAGGAAAACAGAGTTCAGTAGCCCCAAAGTGACGGAGCAAGGAGATTGGAACAAAAAACTCAAACCCTGTGGTGCGAACTAACCTCAAAGAACAAAAAACTGGCCCGGGAGGGTTGGAACAATGAAAAACCCTTCCGTGAAAGGGCTAAATGTTACTCAAAAGAGTAAAACTCCAGTAAGGGTTACCGTTAACCTAAAAGCCCCAGGACAAACCTCTTGCTAAGCCCCAGGGTATTCCGGAAGGGGACGGAATGGCCTCAGGATCACCCGTTAACAGACGAAATCCCCCCCAAAAAACCCGTTACCGGAAGGAATTCGGCTAGCAAGTAATCAAAGCGGGGTTGGGCCGGGGGAGGGGGGAGGGGAGGGGTGGGGGGGTAGGTGGGTCGCTACCCCCTACAGATTGCCATACTAATTGCCCTACTACAAGTGTAGCCTGTACGGATTCGAAAAAAGGTTACTCGTTAGGCTAAGGAATTGCGCGAAATTGTTTCCGTAAGTTGGACGGATTCGGAAAAAAATCGCACTATAAAAAAACGGAATCACTTGCAAAGTTACTCTTAATTTATCTACAGTAAGGGTAATTACCCTGTTAGCAAGAGGCCTTGTGCAGGAGGACTGAGTGGCTGGCAGCGGGTGCGCAGCGCACTGTTTTGTTTTTAGGGTGGCGTGGGCTGCCTCTTTCCCCTCATCAGTGATGGGGAATCAATGTGAGAAGACTTTCCTATCCACTACTGACGAGGACTTCATACATATCGCTCAGAGCGTGTCCAGAATGGGATGTCGACATCGAATGGCATCCTTTTTGAAATGTCAAGGGGTTTCGACCGTCGATCAATATGCATCCATGGTTTAAATTTCTCTAGATACCCCGATATTCCCCGATGTCCCTCGACATCCCAATTTGGACAAGCCCTCACGCTGCAAAGTCAACTGTGCTGCACTCTTTGCTCGCCACAAAATGAGGCCAACATGGCCCTTTCGGTTCTGGGCATTTACAGTGGCGAGGGCGCGGACGGACGTGTCCTACGTGGGGAAAGAAAGCTGTTTTTCGATTTTTACGTTCTGGGTCCGTTGACTACATTACACATAACCTCGCTTACATACATCTGCGCTACTCACACATTCACGGTTAAGGACCCATTGATGCATACACCCTGCTCTTATCCCGTAGTGTATATGCACAATCACTGTTCAATATGAAACGAACCAAAAGAGTGTACTGTACAAGATAGCGTTTCAGCTAGGTGCACACACCAGAATTCGTTTCGGCCCACCACGACGAAACCTAGATATAAGCCTAAAAGTTTCTAAGACGGCGGATTAGGGTTGAAAAGGAACGGAAGGAGGGGTGGAAGGGTTGGGTACACTAGTTGGGTACTTTCGCTAGCGATAGGCGTAATGGTGTTGGGCCGAAACGAATTCCTGGTGTGTACCCCTAGCTGAAACGCGATTTGTCGATGTGTCACCTCTAAAGTACCAAAAAACGAGCCACCCCCACATCAGATCAGAAAACCCCGCTAATTTTGATTATTGAGAACTGTTCGTGGTGCGTTAGATTAGAAAGATGTTGTTTTTTAGGTTGCGAGAACTGATATACACCGTACAGATCAGCCGCTCAAAATTGCTGATATGTCAGCAAATTACCCTACTTCAAACGCGCGGGTATTGTATTAGTTCAGCCACATCAATGCGAACAACCACAAAGCCACACCCTGTAACCCCACCTATCTACGCTTTCGCCCAATTGCATAAATGACTGCCTCGCGCTCCCGTCGCCTGCCTCGCCTGCATAGGAGGGTCCAAATTTTGCTCGATATGAAGCGCCGGTAACATGAACCGTCTCATGCGTGTCAGAAGTTTTTTGCGCTGGTTATCTTAGTTACAACGCAGCGGACACACCTAGGCTGTCCGAATGAAATGGCTAGCGTTCGGCTACTCCCGCCCCCGAAGTGTACAAGCCCCTTTTGTCCGGCGTTTTGGCCGGAGGATACATGCACGCGCCGCGCAAAAAGTTTGTGTGCTTGAATCATAGAGCCTGTGTATATTGTGGTTCTATACAACATAGTGGGATGCTCAGCCAACTGCCCAACCATCTGAGACCCTCGGGCTATTTTCAGCCCCACTGAATAGGTTCTACGGGCGACGGCCCGAGGTTTTACAGGCTTCAGAATCAGGCGTTATCTCAGGTGAAGATCTTCAGGTTTGTCCGAGAAACGTGCACAGTGGTCAAAGCATGCTGTTACCGATATTCACACAAACAACAGCGCAGATCACCCTTTTTTCCAGCATCCCTGCCAAGGTGGTAACCCTGGTCCTATGTACAAGCCCAGCTGTAAGGAGAGTTGTTTGTGTTCGACACAAAAGCACATGCCTGAAATAAATAAAAATTTCAAAAAGGCATCAGGTGTAAATAGCATTTTGGCAGTTTAGGACATGCCTTGGCCACCCCCGGTCAGTTTCCCGTTCTGGGTGTCATGTGCTAATTGTGAGAGGAGGTCCATCTCTCCGCGTGCAGAAGCGTCCAAGGGGCCAGTGTTTCGTAGGAGAGACTGTTTCGTAGTGATGTGCTCGCTCACTCGGACTGACCTGACCTGTCAACTTTGCCTAGTTGTCAATCGTACAGCCATTCTGATTCGCTAGGCGACTGTCCAGGTTGTGTGCGATTCAAGTGATACTGTAATCTGTGCTGGCAGGCGAATGGGTTTCCCTTCCCTTTCTGGCCAACAGAAATCAAACGACTTCTCGCCTCGCGTCGTCCGTCCGTCAAGCTCAAGCCCCTCGCCGTGCGCGGGGCGTCCAAGACTCCACGAAAAATCAGTCTCAACTCAAACTTTTGTTTCGTGTGGTTTAGATCGATTCTCCGCGGGAAGCTAGAATGCAGCACCATGGTGTCCTCCTCAGAACAAGTGTCGTGGTGTTGTTTTGACCTCCATCCTCCAAGCCAAGCCTCTCCTCTCCAACCATCTGTCCCGTTGCTGGTCGGTCCATCTGTCCCGTTGCTGGTCCGGTCCCGTTGTTTTTTTGGTCCTTTTACCTGATGGCCCAATCACGGGGGTTTTGTGGCACCTGCGACACGGCGGCGGCGAACATGTCCATGCAAAGGAGCTCGCGAAGCACAAGTGTCCAGTTAATGGCCCAATCTCCCGTGGCGAAGGCTGGCGAAAAAAGTGCGCGCATTACGCCCACGCGGTTTGTCGAAATCGAGGCCACCGGGTGCGCACCCGGTGTACAAACACAGTGATACACCAAGAGCCTGACAGAGGAACACACTGTTCACGAGTCGCGCTGGATGAATGTGGATGGAATTATCCGTCGGGAGGGTGCACTTTGGGACAGAATTGGGCTAGGCATTTCGCGGACATCATGTGTATAGTGCTGTACAAGTTCCCTCTTCTCGGACCACTTCATCACACATCCGTGACTTCAACCTTACAGTCCCACTTCGACATCTCCTCTCTCCTCCGTGCCTGGGTCCTGGATCTTGCACAATACTGCACTGTACCAACCTCCGCTCATTCCACGGACGGCATTCAACACAGTATCGTATGGAGCGAGCAGAAAATGGACTGGTTCGTGAATCGTGCAGTGTGTGAGCGACGTCTTCACAGCGACGCCGTGAGTATGCGTATGCGTCGGCGGCTCAAGACCTCACACCAGACCCAAAGAAATTCCCAGCGACAGTCGCACCGTTGAGCAGTTTGCGGTTAGCTTCCGTGGATTGCAAACTCCCCGCGTCTGCTCACGCTGCTACCCTCCCCTCTAAGCTGTATCCTCCTCTGTTCGTAGAAGTTGCGGACACTTGCCATAGTATCCGCGCAGCGTTTCGTGAGTTGTAGCACCCTTCGCCATAGAATCAGTCCTATCCATCGGAACAGCTTAGCAACGACCCAGTACGATTCGAGATTCCTACATCCCTTCAGGGTGAAGCCATTTCGAGATTCGCTGGATTCCTCCGGTAAGAGATTCTACCTGCCTGCCGTTATCCTAAGCGGTAGGCCGGGAAACGATCAGTCGGCATTCAGGAGGCGGTGACGGGCAATAGTTGCCAGGCAGTACGTTTCGATACGAACGGCCGTGATAAGATGGAAGCGCACGAGATTAACTCCATTTTTCACCATTCTCGTTGCCCGGATTCCAGCATCCCCGCTTCTCACGGCGCTACCAGTAGCAGCACCGGCGGCGGCAGCGGTGGCGGCGTTGGTGACGGTCGCAATGATAACCGCCGGCCGCCTGCATTCAACGCACACGAGCCTCAACCAGCGCGCTCCAACGACTCGCGCGACGCTCGCGAACCACCCATGGGACATCCCGGTAGTAACGGTGTTACAACTGCCTCTGCCTCGTCGTCGTCCCTTCTCGACCGCCGCAATCGCCGCTCCCTCGCCCCATTGGCCACCGGTAGACCCGACACGGCTCGCAGCGCCAGCAGTGCTAACCCTAGCAGCAGCAGCCGAAGCGCTCGGGGTAACGCGCGGCGCGACGGCTCGTCAGCCCCCGTGAATCACGGCGGGCCGGTTTCCGCAAGAGGCGTCGCGCGCCGCGGTCCAGCCGTCTGGGAGGAGCAGCAGCCGTCAGGTAGCCGGTCGGCGCGGTTCGTATCCTCCGTCAATGTTAACGACGATGACGACGAGCTGCACTACTCTCCGCCGCCCCCCGCGCTCTCTCGAGAACCCCAGGCGCCGCGTCTTAAAATCTCTAGATCCCCGAACGATAGCCCATCGCCTACTAGCGACGTAATAACGTCGCCGCGATCCGCGGCGGGATTCGCGGCGAGACGGACGGCGAATTCTCGCGCGAAAAGCGGTCCGTTAGCGGCGCGGAGGAGACTACGACCTGACGTGGCGGTTCGAGACGCGAGAGACCGCCACGTGGCGCCGTACGATCAGAGCGCGTCGCGATCCGCCAAGCTGGCGTATCTAGCGGGGTCGCTTTGGACGCCGACAGGCGCTGCGAGCAGATCGTTACCGTTGGTGAGCCCGCCAGTGGGCGATCGCTCGATTCGTCGCATGGTCAGTGCGACGAATGTGCAGGTCGAGCTTTGGCCGAGCGACGCGTCGCCGAAGGTCGTGCGACGGAAGAAGCGAGTGAGCATCGATCTGTCGCCCACGACTTTGGACGAACCCGCTCCTTCCCCACTGCCCCTCGCCTCCTCCCATTCCCACCCCTCCCGCTCCCCAATCTCCCGCTCCCCGCCCCAACCCGCCATTTGCCCCGCCACCTCCGCCGGTACATCCGCCGCTGCAGCCGTTTCCTCATCGGCGCACCGCACGCGCAATGCGCATTCCTCGTCATTGTCCGTCGATCTGACTTCTCCGCGGTACAATAGTAGCTCCAATAGTAGTCTTAATAGCCACCGTCCGACTAAGAGCCACGGATGCTGCGTGGGAAGCAACGACCGTCGTACACTGCCCTCACCTCGCCCCCTGCTCTCCCCTCCGCTTCCGCTCCCCCCGTCCAACGGGATTTCCGGCCCAAGCCCGCGCAGTGCCCGCTCCCCGTCCGCCCGGCCCTCATCTTCCGCCCTCCCTTCCCCCTCGTCGAAATCCGGCGGAGGGGGCAGCGGAGGCGGAGGCAGGAGCGGTGGCGCCAGCGGCGGGGGGGGCGGGGGAAGCTGCGGGAGCAGGGGAAGTGGGGGGGGCGGGGAAAGGAGGGGGGGAAAGGGGGAGCGGCCGTGGCAGGCGGAGATTAACCCCTCCCCGACGACTCCGCTGCAGCTGAAGCTGAGCCCATCCGCGGGGGAAGAGGGAAGCGATGGGGGGATGGCGGGGCGGAGCGACGCGCGGGTGGTGGCGGAGAGGCGCACTGGCGGAGTGCTGGAGGCACCGCGGGAAGGCTTTTCCGCCACTTGCTCCTCCGCGGGTTCGCTTTCCGCCGTTACTTGTAGCGGAGACGGTGGGGCTAAATGCGCTGGCGTTCCTCCCAACTCCAAATCGTTTCTGCCCGTTTCCGTTGCTCCGCTTGACGAGAGCTTGTTTGAGGTAGAGGAGGAGGAGGAGGAGGAGGAGGAGGAAGAGGAGAGTGGGGGGGAAGAAGTGGGGGCGGAGGAAGGCGAGGATGGGGAGGTAGCAGAGGAGAATGAGGGGGGAAGCGGGGGGAGGGGTGACGGGAATCGGATGGATGAAGCGAGGGGTGAGAAGAGGGAGAAGCAGAGGGGGGAGGAGAGAAGCGAGCAGAGGGGGGAGGAGAGAAGGGAGCAGAGGGGTGAGGCGGCAGGGGAGGGGGAGGGCGAGAGAGACCAAGGGCATGCTTCCGTTGCGTCCGCTTCTATGGCGGCTGCTGCTACTGCAGCTGAAGCTACAACAGCAATTGAAGCTGCTCCCAGCGTACCTCCGCATTGCTTGAGGCCGGCCTCGGTGACTTTCCCACCCCCCTCCGCCTCCTCCTCCTCCGCCGCTCTCCACCGCATCCACGCCCTCAACCTCCTCTCCTCCCTCCACACCTTGGCCCGTCCTTCCCCCCCTTACACCATCACTACTGATGCCTCCGCCACTGCCACCGCCACCATCTCCACCACCGCCACTAGCGCCACCACTGCCACCAGCGCTACGAGTACGAAACCTGGTAAGCGCGGGAGCAAGTCAGGCCCGCTGACCTTCCGCCCCTCCTCTTCCTCCAGGGACTCGTCTTCCGCTTCCTCCCCCTTCGCCGCCCTGCCCGCCCTGCCCGCCCTGCCGCGCATCGTCAGCAGCGCCAACAGCGTCGGCAGCAGCGGCAACAGCAGCGGCAGCAGCCTGTCAAGGGACAGCAGCACCAGCGAGAGCGCCTGTGACGCGCTGCCCCCTGCTGCCGCTTTTCCAGGGAGCCGAAGCGAGCCTGCTGCTGCCGAACCTGCTGCTGCCGTACCTGCTGCTGCCGAACCTGCTGCTGCCGTACCTGCTGCTGCCGAACCTGCTGCTTCCGTACGTTATGCCTCTTCAACATCCGTGCCTGCTGCCGCACCTGCGCACGGCAAGCACGAGCACCACCGGTCCTCGCGCTTCCTCTCCTCCGCCTCGGGAAAGCTCGCCTCGTTCCTTCAACGGCTGCCCCGGAAGCTCCACCTCCTGCCGTCCGCGCATGGCCCTCCCGCGCTCGGCCCAGCCGCGCATGCACCCACCCCTAGCGTGTGCCTCACTCCCCGCCAGCTGCTCCAGCCCCTGCCCACCGCCCCCTGGTCCGTTGACCCCGTGAGAGACAAGCTGCCAGGGAAGCGGATTGGGGAGCGGGAGAGGAAAACGCAGGAGGAAGAAGAGGAGGGGGAGGAGGAGCAGAAGCACAGAGTGCTGCAGAGTTTGACCCAAGCGCGAGAGCAGAGCAGGGGCAGCAGCGAGTGTCACCGCAATGCGGTTACCAGCACGGACGTCAGCAGGTGCAGTGACACGCGGACAGCGAGCAGAGAGGGAGGCACCCACAGCCCTGCCGGGTGCAGCAGCAGGAAGAGCAGCAGCCAAGCAAGCACCCACACAAGCACCCACGCAAGCACCCAGGCCAGTACCTTCAGCAGCAAGGGGAGCAGCAGGGCGAGCAGCAGGGCAAGCAGCAAGGCAAGCACACCGGGCGTAAGTCCCCGGGCCAAGGCGAGCTCGCCAAAGGAAGCCACTGGCATTCCCACGGCATCACCGCCACCTGCTTGCACTGCTGTCGATGCTGCGCGAATCACCACCGCTTCTGACGCTCCCAAAAGCACCAGTGCGACCGCTGGTATTCCCAAGACTAACACGGCCACTGCTATCCTCAAGGGCTCTCACTCGGGTCTGAGCCGGGCGGCGGATCATATCTTAGGGCAGGCGTACGAGGACGTGAGCGAGAGATACGCGGTGGAGGGGCGGCAGCTGGGCAGCGGGCAGTATGGCGTGATTCGGCAGTGTGTGGAGGAGGGCACCAGGCAGGCGTATGCGTGCAAGACGATCGACAAGAGGAAAATCAAGGTGAGGGAGAAGATTCCTCCCTTTCCTCTGCCCTTCCCCTCTCTCCTCCCACCAGTCCCAAGCTCACGCCTGTGACCTGTGCAGCCAAGTCGCAGCACTGCAGCTGCTACACCCTCACCTGTCAGTCATCGCCCTCATAGACTCGGTTGAGGGCGCCCACCTCATGCATGTGCTCATGGCGCTCTGCTCTCCTCTGCTTCCCTTCCCTTCCCCCCTCCCCTCCCCTCCCCCCCTCTCGTCCCTCCCCCTCCCCTTATCCAGACCCAAGCACAAGCCCGTGACCTACGCAGTGAGGTGGCAACCCTGCAGCTGTTGCACGGCCACCCGTCCGTGATCGCCCTCATCGACGCTGTCGAGGACGCCCACCACGTGCACCTCCTCATGGAGCTCTGCTCGGGCGGCGATCTCTTCGACCGGGTCTCGCTGGGCGGCACGCTGAGCGAGCAGTGCGCGGCCGGCGTGTGTCGGCAGCTAGCGGAGGCGCTGCTGCACTGCCACCGACGGGGGGTCGTGCACCGAGACATCAAGCCGGAAAATATCCTCCTGGTGGGGGGGAGAGGGGGGGAGGCGGGAGGGGAGGGAGGAGGAGGAAAGGGAAGGGAGGGCTACAGAGGTCAAAACACCAAGGCTCCTCGCATCAAGCTCGTGGACTTCGGCATCGCGACTTTCTTCAGGGAGGGCGAGAAGATGCGGGACTGCCTGGGCACGCCCGAGTACATGGCGCCTGAGCTCCTGCTGGGATCCTACGGCCCGGAAGTGGACGTGTGGAGCGCGGGCGTGGTGACTTACGTTGCCATCTGCGGGCATCCGCCCTTCTGGGCGTCGGCGTCCATGGGGCAGACGCTGCAGGAGGCGATTCTGACTAGAGATGTGACGTTTGCCACGCCCGGGTGGGCGGGCGTGTCGGGCGACTGCAAGGAGCTTATAAGGAGGATGCTGCAGAAGAACCCAAGGAAGAGGATCACTCTGTTGGAGGTGCTTGGTGAGTGATCGGTGGGGATGAGGGGATGAGGGGATGATGGGATGATGGGGATGGTGGGGATGGTGGGGATGGTGGGGATGGTGGGGATGGTTATGGTGATGATGGCTGGTGGTGACAGTGAAAAGTACATGCCCTTCTTCTTCATGCCATCCCTTTACTATGGCCCTTCTGCTCAATAGATGTGACTTTTGAGTCGACTCAGTAGATGTGTCACGCTCTGCGTTTGAGTTGACTCAAAAGCAGATCCCTTTACTATGGCCCTTCTGCTCAATAGATGTGTCGCGCTCTGCGGCATACATTGCTCTTTGCCTGTCTGCCTGTTTTCCTTTCTCACCCCACACCCCACCATACGTATCACCACCCGTATACCCACCATGTGTACCACCTGCATGTCAACTCATCCTTCGTCCCCATCCCACACCTCATCCCCATCGCAGGCCACCCCTGGATACGCAGCAGTGAGAGCAGCAAATAGGCCGAATCAGAATCACAGGAGCTGGTGGGTTTATGAATGAAGTCCAAGTGCCAAGCTTGAAAATTATCATTCTTCTGCTCTATGATTCAGATGTACGAATAACTGTCAAACATGTGTATTTGTTGTGTTTGTATAGACTGTATAGGGTCACCTCCTAGAGGGTACAACACTTAGGTATATTTGTGTGTACTATCCAGGGCCTCAGATTCGTTTTGGGGCACGCTGATTGCTCAGGCTCCCCCCCCTCTAGCTCCCTGTTTTTTCAGGCCTTGCAAAAAAAATTTACGCTGATCAATCAGGGTGTTGTAAAAAAATTGCACTGAATAAACAAGGTCAACTACTGAAAACACGCTGTTCGAATACATGCCATTAGTATTTGTCACAGGTTCCTGATCACAGTCTTGTCAGTGTCAAGTTGGCGTGACTGATGGGGGGTGGAAGGGGAAATCACGGATATCACTGGTGGGGGGGTTGGGGCTTGGAATCCGCTATTAGAGCATGTTCCTACGAGCCTCTACCCAGGGAGCCTCTTCCCAGACTTGCGAGCTACAGTGTCGCGAATTCTGACATGAAATGTTTTAAGTGCTGTTCCGCAAGGTGCAACGCCAGGTTGGCAATGCCGAGATTCAGGGGCGTATTTCAAAACCTTTGTTCAGGTGAACATCGTTTCCGGCACCCGCGAATCCGTATAGTAGGGGCGAGCAGTTTTTTTGCGATTGAGAGCGGCGGAACGCAAATATGAAATGGGAATGTGGAAAAGGGGACACGGGAACAAGCTCTCAAAGTCACGCGTGAGACTGGGAAGAGGTTGCCTGGGAAGAGGCTCGCAGGAACACGCTCTTACACGTATCAGGATCGGTCCCCAATAGGACGCTGGAAAAACAGGCCTCACTACACTAGTCGCGCTGATCGATCAGAGTTCACTTCTAAAAAAACGCTGAAATTTCAGGCCCGTATTAAAAAAAAACCCTGTCTCATCCGGGTTACCTCCCAAAACAACCCTGATTTTACCCTGAATCAGGGTAAAAAGCCTGCAATCTGAGGCCCTGGTACTATCTCTCTCTCACCATTCAATTTTTCAATTATGATATGGTATCACGCGTAGGTAGGATCCCCCCCCCCCCACCTACCGCTTCCGCTCAACCCGTCGCGCCCCTCCTGGGCCCCTGTAGCGCCCCTTCCTGGGCCCCGTCGCGTCCTCCCTGGGCCCCGTCGCGCCCCTCCTGGGCTTCGTAGCGCCCTCCCCTGGGCCCCGTAGCGCCCCTCCCATGCCCCGTCGCGCCCCTCCCAGGCCCCGTCGCGCCCCTCCCAGGCCCCGTAGCGCCCCTCCTGGGCCTCGTCGCGCTCCTCCCAGGCCCCGTAGCGCCCCTCCTGGGCCCCGTCGCGCCCCTCCAGGGCCTCGTAGCGCCCCTCCTGGGCCTCGTTGCGCTCCTCCCAGGCTCCATAGCGCCCCTCCTGGGCCCCGTCGCGCCCCTCCAGGGCCTCGTAGCGCCCCTCCTGGGCCTCGTCGCGCTCCTCCCAGGCTCCATAGCGCCCCTCCTGGGCCCCGTCGCGCCCCTCCAGGGCCTCGTAGCGCCCCTCCTTGGCCCCGTCGAGCCCCTCCTGGGCCCCTTCGCGTCCTCCCTGGGCCCCGTCGCGCCCCTCCCAGGCCCTGTCGCGCCCCTCCCAGGCCCCGTCGCGCCCCTCTCAGGCCCCGTAGCGCCTCTCCTGGGCCTCGTCGCGCTCCTCCCAGGCCCCGTAGCGCCCCTCCTGGGCCCCGTCGCGCCCCTCCAGGGCCTCGTAGCGCCCCTCCTGGGCCCCGTCGAGCCCCTCCTGGGTCCCGTAGCGCCCCTCCTGGGCCCCGTCGCGCCCCTCCTAGGCTCCGTCGCGCCCCTCCTGGGCCCCGTTGCGCCCCTCCAGGGCCCCGTAGCGCCCCTCCTAGGCCCCGTCGAGCCCCTCATGGGCCCTGTAGCGCCCGTCCTGGGCCCCGTCACGCTTTTCCAGGGCCCCGTAGCGCCCCTCCTGGGCCCCGTCGAACCCCTCCTGGGCCCCGTCACACCTGCCCTGCCCCCGTTGCGCCCTGCCCGGCCCCGTCGCAGCCGCCCGGCCCCGTCGCAGCCGCTCGGCCCTGTCGCGCCCGTCCGGCCCCTGTCGCAGCCGTCCGGCCCCGTCGCAGCCGCCCGGCCCCGTCGTGCCCGTCCGGCCCCGTCGCGCCTGCCCGGCCCTGTTGCGCCCTGCCCGGCCCCGTCGCAGCCGCCCGGCCCCGTCGCGCCTGCCCGGCCCCGTCGCAGCCGCCCGGCCTCGTCGCCGCAGCCCGGCCCCGTCGCGCCTGCCCGGCCTCGTCGCCGCCGCCTGGCCCCGTCGCAGCCCCCCCGGCCTCGTCGCCGCCGCCTGGCCCCGTCGCAGCCGCCCGGCCCCGTCGCGTCTGCCTGGCCCCTCGTCGCGCCTGCCCGGCCCCGTCGCGCCTGCCCGGGCTCGTCGCGCCTGCCCCGGCCCTACATACTTCCTGGTACGGTCCCCCGTTCCCTGCACCGCTTTGCACCACACTGCACCGCCCTGCACCGCCTTGCATCGCACTGCACCTCACTGGACCGCACTGCACCGCACTGGACCGCACTGCACCGCACTGCACCGCACTGCATCGCACTGTACCGCACTGCACCGCACTGTACCGCACTGGACCGCACTGGACCGCACTGCACCGCACTGCACCGCACTGCACCGCGCTGCACCGCACTGCACCGCACTGCACCGCACTCCACCGTCCTGCACTGCTCCTGATGGCTGCGGAGCTTCGTTTCGATGCCGAGGGTCAGCCTCTGGAGTTCGAGGCGTGGCTGGCCGACCTCCGCCGCCACCTCACTGGTCAGCGCCAGGACGGCCACCCGCTTTCTGACCACCTTGACGGTACGCTCCCCTGCCCAGACCCCCCTGCTGTGCTGCCCGCTGATCCCACGCCCGCTGAGCGCGAGTCCACTGCCGCCGCTGCCCTTGCCCGCTCTGTCTGGCTCTCCCGAGATGCCCTCGCTCAGCTCGCCATTAGCAATGCCCTTCCCCCCCCTGAGCGCCCTCGCTATAGGACAATTACTACCGCTCAGGCCTACCTCGATGCTGTCATCAAGCGCTATTCTGCCCCCCCTGCTGCCTCCGTGGGTCGCCTGATCCTTCCCCTGCTCTTTCCTGACCTTGCGTCTTTCCCCACTGTCTCTGACCTAGCTGCCCACCTGCGCTCGATAGATGAGACCTGGCGCGCTGCCTGCACTGATGCACAGCTTAGAGCCCACCAGCCTCCCATGACCTCTACCCTCTACCTCCTTGCCACTCGCCTCCCTGACCGCCTTGCTGCTGCCCGCGACCAGTTCCTTAGCATCCACCCCGCTGAGCTCACCCTCACCGACTTCGTAGACACCCTGACTGTTATCGAGACTCATCACCGCTCCATCGCCCAGGCGAGCGGTACGGTCCCGGTCCCCATCTTTCAGGGTTGTGCCCCCGCTCAGTGTACCTTCTCCGACGGCTCTGTCGCTGTGGCTGAGACTGCTGCTGCGGCGCAGTCTCGCTCGGGGAAGGGCCGCCGCCCCAAGGTTGGGAGCGGCGGGGGTGCGGGTGGGGGTGGTGGTGGAGTCGGGTCGTCTGGTGCTGGAGCGGACGCGGGGACCCTGCCCAGTCCAGCTGCCCCACTGCCTCCGCAGTCGCAGCAGCAGCAGTCGCCGCAGCCGCAGCCTTCGCAGCAGCCGCAGCAGCCGCCGCAGACGAGGCAGGCGAGTGCCCTCCCGCCTGTGGGGCCTGGAGCTGGTGGTGGTCGTGCGCGTGGTGGTGCGCCGGGTGGTGGTTCCGGAGGCGGGCGCTGTCAGTACCAGATCCAGACCGGTCCTCGCCGCGGCTTCGTTTGCGGTAAGATCGGTCATTCCACTCCTCGCTGCTTTCATCGCCTGGACGACCTGTTCCGCCAGCGCTTTGGCCCGGCGCCCGACCTCCCGGACTGGCACAGTTTGCTTAGGCGTAGCATTCAGATTTTTGACTTGGACATGGATGCCATTGCAGCAGCCTTGCATGTGATGTATGCTGATGACTCTAGTGTGCTTCCCTCTTATTACCCCGTATTGCCTAGTGTAGATGTGCCTAGCGTAGACTGCCCTGCTGCGTCAGGCGTAGGATCTTCTGCTTTGTTTAGCCTCGGTGCTTCCACCGCTTCTCTGCCGCCTCGCGCCACTGCTGCGCTTTCCTTCACCTTCGACTCTGGCGCCTCCCGTTGTTTCTTCCGCGACTCCACGACGCTGACGCCGCTGCCTGTTCCTGCTGCAGTTACTCTTGCTGACCCCTCCGGTGGTCCAGTCGTCGCCCGCAGTTCCACCACCCTTCCCTGTCCGGCGGTTCCTTCGGGTTCGCTCACAGGTCTGCATATCCCCTCGTTCTCCATGAACCTAGTTGGTGTCGGCTGCCTCCAGGACCTTGGCGTCACCACTACGTTCCCTGGTCACGAGCGGTATGCTGTCTGTACCGAGGCCGCCACTGGTGCCCCCCTTACCACTTTCCCCCGGGACCCGGTGTCAGGCCTGTTCACACTTGACACCGCGCCTTCCCCGGCTGGGACGTCCCCCCAGGTGGCTGCGTCCACCCAGGTTGCTGCTGCGTGCTCCTGTCGGTCCCTCACTCACCCGACTCTCCTTTGGCACCACCGCCTTGGTCACCCTGCTCTCCCGCGTCTGCGTCACATGTCCCAGCACGGTCTCGTCCTTGGTCTCCCCGGTTCGTTCCCCGAGTTTCCCTCCTCCCCCGCCCCCCCGTGCACGCCTTGTGTCGAGGGCCGGCTCCGCCGTGCCCCTCACTCCTCCTCGTTTCCCCCTACCACCGCACCACTGCAGACTCTGCACATGGACGTCTGGGGCCCAGCCCCCGTCCATGGGCCGCGTCGCGAGCGCTTCTTCCTCGTGCTTGTCGACGACTTCACGCGCTACACCACCGTCTTTCCCCTGGAGCGGAAGGCCGACGTGCCTGACGTTCTCATCCCCTGGCTTGTCTCTGCTCGTGTCCACCGCGGTCTCCCTGCCTTGCGTCTCCACTCCGACCGGGGTGGCGAGTTTGCCTCAGGTGTCCTTGGTCGCTTCTGTCGTGCGGAGGGCATCACCCAGACGTTTACCCTGCCGGACTCCCCGCAGCAGAATGGGGTCGCTGAGCGACGCATCGGTTTGGTCATGGAGGTCGCTCGCACCTCCATGATCCATGCCGGTGCACCCCATTTTCTGTGGCCGTTCGCCGTGCGCTACGCCGCTCACCAGCTTAACCTGTGGCCGCACCCCCAGCGGCC